CTCGGATTTCTCGGATCGGCGTTGAAACCCTCCTCCCTGGCGCGCGGAGCGCGCCAGGGGCGGCGCCGGAGGCGCCGCCAGGGGTTTCCAGCGCCGATCCGAGAAATCCGCGCGGACCTCCGAGTTTTTCTGTTTATGTCATTGTTATTGCCCCTAAGGAGGTCTATCAACCTCCGACGTTTGGGGGGGGAGGGCGAGGGCCCGCGCCGATCGGCAAAAAGCACGGCTCCTCTGCGAGGGGCGGCAGCCGCGGAGGAGGGGCCGGCAGAGGCCCCCAAAAGACCAGCAGCGACTCGCCCGGGGGAGACTGCACACCATGCAGGTCGCTTCCTGCACTAACCAGCATCGAATCTACCCCGACCCCTAAGATCGGCAGGCCCAAGGCGATGACAATCTTAGGGATGTGCCCTCAGAAACTGAGGGAATCCTCAAGATCAGCACAGAGGTAAGGTGATGCCAAACATAGGGATAGGGATATGTTTGAAGCTGGTAATGCACAAGTTCCTCGGGAAGCCTCCGAGGGAGGCTGGAGGGCAAGGAGTACGGCAGCCGCCCTGGGCAGATCTTTCGGCTCCAGAGCGTCAGGCGTCGGCGTCGTCGTCGTCGCCGTCGCCGTCGTCCTCGTCGTCGCGATGCGGAAGCCGCGCAACGCGGCAGCCGCCACAGCATCAGAAGGACACAATCACCCGGCACCGCAGAGGGGGGCGGCGCCGGCTTCGGCACGGCCGGGCTCCGTGCCAGGGGCTCCTGTCACTGGGCGTCCTAAAAAAGCGGCCCAAGGACACACAAAGAAATACACACAAATGCCGGGATTCCCCATATGTTCCAATATGTTCTAGGTTTTCGTCTTCCCCCACCCACTTCCCATATTTTGCCATAGTTTCCTGGGAATCGACGATCAATTGTGTCTGTGTGTGCTTTCCCCTCCTGAGTCCTGGAGGTTCCTGGCGCGTCAAGCCTGGCGGCGGGGTCTCCCAGTCCCAGAGTGTCCCATCAAATGGCGAAGTCCAAAGATAGAAGGCAAAAAATCCACCCCCAGAATAAGCACCCCGACAGGCGAAGCGGTTTAGTAAACGCACCCTGGGAAGGAATCGAAAAGGGCAGGGCTGTTTAATAAAAACGACCAAGGCCGCTTAGTTAGTAAACGCCAATCGTCGAGTCCAGGTGGTTCTTCCTCCCTTGAACAGAGCTTGTCCAGAAAGCCCCCCTCTGACAGTCAGTGTATCCAGACCTCGTCCTCCGGCACGGGACGCGCATCGTCTGGCCCGAGGCTCCCGCCCTGTGCGAGGGGACACTCCAGCGCCTCCTCCACGGCTGCCAGGATGCTGGGGTCGTCGGCCGGCAGCGCCTGGACCCTCGCCACCCCCTCTTCTACTGAGCCCTCCCGCCGCGTCCTCTAAGATTGCCGACGCCTGCCAGGTGCAGGCAGTGTCACCACCGTCCTGGCCTCCCCTGGACGGTTTCCCCCGGGGCCGTGGGCGACCCGAGGAAGGGAGGGCGAGGAGGAGGAGGAGGAGGAGGAGGCAGAGGAGGAGGGGGAAGAGGAGGAGGAGGAGGAGGAGGGGGAGGAGGAGGAGGAGGAGGAGGAGGAGGAGAAGGAAAGGAGGAGGAGGAAGAGGAGGAGGAGGAGGAGGGAGGAGGAGGAGGAGGAGAGGAGGAGGAGGAGGAGCAGGAGGAGGAGGAGAGAGGAGGAGGAGGACGGGTCGCCCAAGCCCTTCGGAGAAACCTTCCAAGCCTCCCCGGGATCTTGGCCGCTGGCCACGGCCCTCACGAAGCTCGGAAGCTCCCCGCGGGCCCAGCAGAGGCGAAACACGGGAACCGACGGCGCATGCTCGCTGCACGAGGATCATCTTATGTTGCTCCCATCGTACTTAAGGACCACATCCCACAAATAAGTTCGAGCACCCGGAAAGGTGCCGAAAGTGCCGAAACAGTGTCGAAACAGAGTCGGACGAGTCTCCCAAGGTCGGACACGTGAAAACCCTCGAGTTCCGGTACTTGTTGCTGGTGCTCGAAATCCTTTCTGGCGATCAAAGGTAACGTAGGTTGGAACATCATAAGGATCGTCGGGAGGGGACTCGCCATCGTGACGCGGCCGATCGGTTGGCGGCGGCAGCAGAGGAAGCGAGGGTCATGAGTATCGTTTAACCGATCCCCATCCCCAGCGGCGTGGCCTGGGCCCCGCTGGCCAATTTACTCCCTTCGGGTTTCAAGGGGTGTATCCAAACTGGGGTGGTAATTTGCTGGGGGTCTCCAAGGGGATGGAGATGGGGATGGGGATTGGTTAAACGATACCGACTGACCGCGCACGCTCGCTACACGAGGATCGTCAGGAGGGGACTCGCCAGCGTGACGCAGCCGATCGGTGGGCGGCGGCAGCAGAGGAAGCGAGGGTCATGCAAGTCACCTCTTCGCAGCCGAAGAGGGATGTGCCAGAGCCTGGCAACTGTCGAGCTCACTCCACTCGGGCGCGGCCTAACCGACTCCCTAGCAAACCATCCTCTTCCGTGACGTCACCCTCGCCTCTCAAGCTTCCCTCCGGCCGCATGCATACGTCTTGGGGCGGGGCAAGGGGGACGTCACGGAAGGGGATGGTTTGCTAGGGGTACGTTAGGCCGCCCCTGATCCACAGCTGAAGGACTCCCCTCAGGCTGCTCTTTCGATTGTCTG